CCGTAGTCACATGGGAAGCACCGAATACCAACTGATCCCACAACGTTCATCGAGTATTTCTCAATCTTTTTAACTTATAAACCCAAAAAGTTGTGCGAAGCCGTAGTCACATGGTAAAACTTTGTTCATGCCTAATTTGTGAGAAGAAAAAGAAGAAATGAGAAAACGATTTCTCAATTGGAAACCCTAGTATTCATAATTTCCTCCCAATTTAAAATGATTGACTACGGCTCGTGGGTTCAATGAACGATTGACTATTGATACGCACCGTAACGGAGTTGACTAACACCCCTTAGATTGACTCCGATTTTTGCACGTTGTATCAAGTATAGGGTATGAGGTTCAAATTTTATAGAAGTTTAGGTTGTTAAATACCCTACAAAATTGTTCAGGTATGAAAATTCATGGCGCAGACAGTACGGGTATGAAAACGACGTCATTTTGATACACGTCAGCGTACACGTGTAAGATGACTCAGCACCGTAACGGAGTTGACTAACATCCGTTTGATTGACTCCGATTTTTGCACGTTATTGGCTTGGGGCACCACAATTTTTTTTTTTTTAAGGTTTTTTTTTTTTTGGTAAAAAGGCCCATAAAATGAAAATACTTGGTAGAAACTAAAGTCTTTTTCGAAAAAAATAAATAAAATAGGGCCAAACAATTAAATTTGAATGTAATAATATTCAAAATATCATTATTTTGTATAATTTACTAAAAATAGGTCAAAAAAAAAATTTTAGCCCTAAAACTTATAAATATATTGGGCCTCATTTTATTTTTCGTGTAGGGCCTCACAAATGCTCGGACCAGCACTGATGGTTATGAATCTTTTTTTTGTTTGGGGTATGATAATGTTCTGTTACATGGCTGAATCTCGTTTATAAAGTAATATATTTGGGTCTGATTGTTAACAAGCTGTTAGCTGTTAGCTGGAACTGTTAGCTATTAGGGAATAGTGCAAAGCTGTACAAAAGAATAAAACATGAAAGCTATACAAAAAAAAACGCAGAACAAATTTTAAAAATTTACTCTGATTGGAAACATCATAGCAGTACACATAATAAATAATATTAAGAATTTAGAAAGAAAAAAAATTACATAGAAATGTACTTTAGTATATAATTACATATGAAAATTAAGATTATATAGAATGAACAATATTTTATTGTTAGAATAATAATATGAATTTACTAGTCCTATAATAAATAAAAATTTTCTTCATTTTGAGCAATATAACATTCCAAAATAATTGTTTGAGAAAAAAACCATTATTCTAATGAGATTTTTTCATATGCTTTATTATTTACTTTTTCGGAAATCTTTATCTGAACATTCGAGACTTTTTTTTTGCATTATACATAGTTACAATTATATTTTATAAAGTTTAATTATGCGGTTAATAATACGGTTAACCGTACGGCTAATCGTACGGTTAAATAACGGTTTTGATACGTTTCTGGTATATTAACGGTTACGGTTAGTATATATTTTTTAACCGTAACTAATCTAGTTTTACGGTGAATGGTTATGATTTTTAACCGTTTTATACAGTTACGGTTGAAAAACGGTCCAGTTACGATCCAAAATACGGTTACGGTTAGCTTTTGTTCATGCTTACTAGGCATGACCAAAAGCTAACCGTAACCATATGTTGTACCGTAACCGGACCGTTTCTCAACCGTAACCATATAAAACGGTTAAAAACCGTAACGTTAACCGTAAAAAATAATTAGTTACAGTTAAAAAATATATTAACCGTAACCGTTAATTAACGGTAAACATATGAAAACCGTTATTTAACCATATGGTTAACTGTATAGTTAAAACTTTAAAAATATAATTGTAACTCCATATGGTTAACCGTATAGTTATAAAAAATGGTCTTTTCTCAAACAAATATGTTATACTGTTATTTTGCTCGAAATGAAGAAAATTTGGTTTGTAACATACTTTTTGATTTTATGAAAAGTATTATAATAAGTTAGGTAACTCGTAAGATTTCGCCTCCGATATTAACCGTATTGTAGTCATCAAATAACTATAACTGTAATTATCTGTAACCGTTGTAACCGTAACCGTAACCGTATTTAACCGTAACCGTTATAACCGTATTTAACCGTAACCGTTATAACCGTATTTAATCGTAACCGTATTTAACTATAACCGTATTTAACCGTAACCGTTTTAATTTGTTTTTGTTTTTGTCAAAAAAAAAACTGTTTATGTTATAGTGTACTGCTTTTAAAGTTTTTGTGATTGGTAATTGTCAAAGTACAAAGCTGTACATCTTTATTTTTGTTCACCAATCAAAGCCTTTGTGTATGATAAAGAGAGATGTTTGCTTTTTCAACATATATTTTATCTATTGCATGAAGAATCTCGGAACAAGACAAAACATGCTTTTTTTTTTTGATAATTAAAACATGCATGCATCTTCACTTCATTCGACAACAAAGTTAATTTGTCACCTCTCATGGAAGTCACAAATATTCTAGGTACATCCTCGTACAAGTCAGGTGAATATGACAGCTAACACTAACAAAATGTATTTTAGTGCCGCAACAAGAAATCGAGATCTAATAGTTGATGAAAAACTGGCTAGCATCTAAAACCAGTATATAGAATCAATCAACCACATGATTAGCCAAGCCAAACATTTAACTAGACCCAAATCAAAACTTTGAATTGTGTAACAACAGACTAATATACACATGTACTGAGTTAGTTGGTCCTGCAATTCCAAACACAGATTTGACGCTCCAAGTTCCTTGTCAGCTTTGGTCGCGATTTTCACAAAACACTACTTTTTGTATCGCTTTATCAAATCATATTTAACAACTAGGGGATAGTAGTATTTTAAGAGATATTATAACGTATATTTACTTTTATTTTCTTAATTGGCTACCCCAGTATTTGATGCATAATTGCAAATTCTTGTTTTATTGGTATAATATAATTATTATTAGTATGTAGTATGAGTTTGATTACACTATTCTTTGTTGTACAATACGCGATGTTATAACTTTTTTTTTTTTTTTTTCGTCAAAAGTGAATTATATTAACTTGGAAAAGTCATTACAAATGCTTTGATGTAGCCATACAGGTTGATGAACAGAATCAGCATAATAACAGGAAGAAATACAACCAAATCTAGCAAGATTATGAGCCACTTGATTTCCTGTTCTCTTAACAAAACTAAACTGAATGTTAACAAATTTCGAAGCCCAATGATGTATATCCAGAAGATAATTAGCTACAGACAAAATTCCTGGAGCTCCATTAACCAGGTTGATGAGTATTTCACAATCGCCTTCCATAACTACGTTCGTATATCCTCGAATCCAAACTTGTTGAAGTGCAGCTAGAAGGGCCAAAGCTTCTGCTTCCAAAGGTGAGCCAGCATAATGCAGAACCATCGATCCCCAAGCTTTCGGTGAACCTTCATAGGCTCGTATTATCCAACCACCTTTAGCCTGCAAGTTCTGTAGATCAAGTCCAGCATCAAAATTACATTTAACGTAGTCTCGTTGCGGTGCTGTCCAAGACTTCACTATCGGATGTTGTTGAGCTTGTTGTGGGAATCGTCGTCTCTGTATATTCGTCGCCTCAATCCATTCCTTTGTTTCAGCTGTAGCTTGTAAAACAATGGTTGTCAAGCTTTCACGGAAATTGTTAAAAACCACATTATTTCGTGATTTCCATAACCTCCAAAGCAGCCAAAACGGAAGTAATTTCTGAACTTCAGTGAGAGTGCTTGATTGAAGTAAATTCAAAACATGGATAAAGTTTTCCTCTAAATCGTCGGACGTCATCTGAGAGCCGTAAAACGGTGTATTTGACAACCTCCATACCATGGAAGAAACAGAACACGTGAACAGAGCATGATTTATCGATTCAACTGAATTCCTACATCGGGGACATGTAGAATCAATTTGCATTCCTCTCGTAGTTAACCTTTCATTCGTGGCTAACGCACGGGATAGCATTCGCCAAAGAAAATGTTTGATTTTTGGCATAATTGGAAGTTGCCAAACTTTATTTTTTAGCTCCACGGAACCATGAGGCCTGTCTGAAGAGATGGCACTGTGAGGATCATGGGTTAGTAACCAATAACCCGAGCGCACCGTATAATCGCCAGAGGAGTTGTAGTTCCACACAAGATTATCTGGTTTCGCCTCCTTGGAAAGATAGATCCGTTGAATAATATCCTGGTCTTCCTGCGCAACAAATTCTGATATTTTTTCAGGATCCCAAGCCCGTAAAGGACCATGGAATAGGAACAGACTGTCTAAAGTCAATGCACTCGAGCTTACACTTGCTTTAATGGGTCTCGGCGGATGTGAATCTATGCAATTGTCCATCCCTAGCTTTATGGACTTACCATCACCTATCAAATACCTTGTTCCCTTTTTCAAAAGATCTATACCAACTAAGAGGGAAGACCATCCATAAGATTGTTGTTTCCTTGTTTTGGCATCCAATATCGAGTCGTCTTTATAATAACGAGCTTTCATGACACGCGCAAACAGTGAGTGTGGTTGTTGAATCAGTCGCCAAGCTTGTTTTGCAAGTAGGGCATCATTAAACTTTGCTAAGTCTCGAAAGCCTAAACCACCTTCCTTTTTTGAGAATTTAAGTTTCTTCCAAGCAACCCAAGGAATCCCTTTCCGATTAGATGATTTTTCCCACCAAAAATTCATAAGAAGTGTCTCAATCTCAGAGGTAATCCCTTGTGGTAGTTTAAAACATGACATTGCATATACCGGCATAGCTAGAGCTACCGACTTTATCATAATTTCTTTTCCAGCGGGTGAAAGAAATTTCGCGCTCCGATTTTATAACTTTATTTTCACGTTATGGACTTATTTTATTTTCTATTTTAGATAAACAAAATTATTGTTTGTATAGTATATTAAAAATTTATATCAAAAGTATAATAATTTTTTGTGTGTTTTTTTATATTCTAATTATATAGAAGGATATTAATAAACAAATTCAAACTATTTTAATTTAAGAATTCTAAATTACAAATATATATATATATATATATAAAGATATTTATTGATCTTTACATATCTCTATGTTCCTAAAAAATATTTCAGTGTATGGCTCTTTAAAAGAGTAAACGTGAGTAAACAAATATGACTTAAAATGATGTTCTACATCCTACTTTTTATAAAACCGCTCAATCTCACTAGAATCTAACCAATTGGTTATGGTAAATGATGATAGATTAAGGGTCAATCATTGCTTATATCAGTACAATGATCTCACAAAAATTGTACTTTTACTTGTATTGAATTCATTGCTCTTTATTTATTCATTTAGGTAGGAACGGTTATAACTTACTTAAACCATTTCTAATGTCCACCTATATTTTGTTTCTCTATTTTAGAGTTTATTTTGCTCCAATATATACCTCTAAAATACAGGAAAAAAATAACTCTATTTTTCCCTCTATTTTAGAGGCATTCATTGGAACAAAATAACTTTAAAATAGAGGAAAAATAGAAGTGGGCATTGGATTTTTGAATTTACACACTAACTATGACTTGATTAGCATATATGGGGATGATGTAACTACTATTGACTTTTCACGTATAAAAATTTTTATCAACAACTGAGAAATTTCAAAGAATTTTTGCGAAATTGAAAATGGTTTGAGAGAAAATATTAGGGTTGTTATTGGGAGATTGAAGAAAATATGAACTAGTGATTTTCACAAAAGGTCACAACAAAAGAGAGAGGATGACTACAAGCTCATATATTAGGTGAGTGAGATAGAGAATTTGAGCAATTTTGAAGAAAAAAAATCGAGTGATAAAGATTAGACAAGAAATTAATAGTTGAATATGATTCAATATAAAATTCTGAAGGCTGATAAATCTAAAAATAATTTAATGTTGTTAATAATATAAATTTGAAACTAGAAGTAAGTGTGTTGAGTGAAATTCTCTAACTTATAATTATTTTATACCATATTTTATGGTTTAATTGACATTTATTTTTATTGGGACAAGATTCCGCTTTTAGCGCAAAATTTTAAATCATTGTATGATGGAAAAAGCCTTTAATTAGCATGCGCATAAGTTCGATCGATTCTCAGTGAATATATTCCGATTCACGAGTTACTCGCCGAGCCGCACCCTCTTTTCTACCAAACTAGCCATTTCAAGAGTTTTTTTTTTTTTTGTTTGGAGTGTTTTTTTTTAGGAAGATTATTTTTTTGTTAGTAGATTATTTTTTTTGTTTTGAGTTATGATTTTTGCATCTCTTATGTTTGCTATTTATAGGCACAAAATTTTTTTTCTTTGGAATTGCTAGCTATATTTGCAAGGGAAGTGCTAGGAATTATAAAATTACTATGATTTTGCTAGGGATTTTTCACCTACCAACAAAGTAGTTACGTTCATTTAAAATGCGCTCACCTAACTCAAGAGTTACTCGTAAATCCATCGCAAATTTTGCTCTGGAACAGAGCGTTGCTAATCCCTCGCAAATTTGCGACAGACTTGCGAGGGATATAACCGTCATAGCAGATTCGTCGCAAAACTCACACAAATTTGCGACGGAGTCTTCCCTCGCAAATTATTAGCTATATAGTGGGCCCGCCTCGCAAATTCCTCGCACATCCATTGCAAAATTGCGAGGAAAATTTTCTCACGTAAATTTTCGTCACAAATTGATTGTTTTCTAATCTGAGTTTGCAATAATCTTCTCCTCCTGCCAAACCAATCTCTCCTTTTATCATCTCTTTAGATCACTAGTACTTCTCAGTTCCCTTACGAAAGGGAGGTCTTCAATTATTTGGATTGACGTATAGACAAGGTATCATGAAGACATATGCATCGACCCTTCTTCTGCTATCTACTCTTCCAAGCCCTCTTGTCCTAAGTAGCACACACAAATGACGAACCCGCCTTCCCAACAAACCATTCTCCTCCCAGAGGAAGCACTCTTATTAAAAAAAAAACCTAACCTGAAGACTGAATGCGACCGCATGTTCTCTATATATGTCCAAGTCTCTCTTTGTTTTTTTTTTTTTTTTTTTTTTTTTTTTGCTGGGAAACTTTATTTAGAAAACAATTCTTAATTTATTACACAACCACGATGGTGCATGTTTCTTGTTTTGTGTCAACTTTTCAGTTTTTACACTCACAATCTTGACTAGAATCTCATTTATAGTGTTTTTGCTAACACGTAGAATCAGTTAATTAACCTAACTATATCTTCAAAAGACACCTAGACTAGACATAGCATACGAACTTACATGAATCAATTGTTCCTCTGTCTTTAAGAAGTAGTGGAAAAGGTGATAATCAACTGCAAGAAACGGAGGACATTGGCACATTGCATAAGTTGAGAAGGAGAAGGCAACGGTTTCAGCCGCCAATGTTCCTCTAATGTTCTATGATGACTTGAGTTTGGTTTTCCAATCGGTTAGTCTTATCTAACTTAGGAAAAAAAGGAGACTTATGTTGAAAGTTTCCCATATTCTGTGCTCTAATTAGTTGTTCTAGGTTTTTTTTTTTTACAGATCTCTCTAGGTTTCTATAATGAACCGAGTTTCTTGATGCTTAAGTAATCTATTTTGGTGTGAATATTAATGAACAGAGTGTGGGAAATCGAAAAGTCGCTTCCAAGTGATTGGCTCTACGTAGACTTTTTTAATACAAATGATTTAATTCGTAATTATGACAAAGTATCAAATTACGAAGGACAAAAGACTGTTTGCATTCCCGCACACTATTCGAGATTCATGCATTTTCTTTATTTATTTAACACTTGCGAGTAAACTCCACTCAAAAGAAAAAAAGTTTCCTTTGCAAGGCAAGCATAGTTTTTTTTCCTTTTTATTTCCGTCCAGTTTCTGCGTCATGCAGTTTGATTCTATCATCAATTCAACTTGTGTTCTTCCTGATTCTCTAGGTTAAAAAGTGTTCGTTTTCTAGCTGTGGAAACTAGTCAATCTTCTTGGTTAAAAATGTAGTTTGAATCTAGGAATACATTGTAGAGAATCTCTTTTTTTTTTGTTGCTTGATTTGCGTGTGATTACGGATTTGTGTGTGTGATAATCTGTCGAAGGGGATTTCTTTTTTCTTCAGGTCCTTTATTGGGAGGAATCTTTATTACATTTGATGGCTAAGCATGTTGGTAAGAAGTTCACTTGGGTGATAAAGAACTTCTCCTCTTTGCAATCTGAGAAACGTATTTATTCTGCTCCGGTCCTGATAGGTGACTGCAAATGGTAAAAACACAAGCTAATATTTTCCAATGTTTCTTGTCGATTTAGATATATTATCCATCTATGGTTTTGTGACTCGTTTCTTCTTTTTTTCTTCAGGCGTCTTTGTGCATATCCCAAGGGATACCAGGTCGTTGATTACTTCTCTCTGTTTCTGCAAATTGTTGATTATGAATCATTGCCTTCCAGATGGAGTAGAAACGTTAAATATCGGCTAACTATCTTACCACAGGATCCAAAAAAATGGCCAGTAGAAAGAGGTGATTCTTACTTAAATCTGCTATCTACTTGATTGATTTTGTTCAATGGTCCTTGTCAACATAACATATATACATAGTAATTAGTTTAATAGATCATAGTAACTATTCGACATATATACCTTGTAATCGACATGTTAGTTTAACATATATATATATATATATATATATATATATATATATATATATATATATATACAGTAAATATTTCATCCATATGAAATATAAACATAGGAAAGCAAAGTTCCTGTTATTTTGCAAATCAATAAATCAGTAATTCAGTATTTACGTTGTCAAGAGTAGTTAAGGAATACGACGAGTGGTTTACTTGACAAGATTAGTTTATTATTGTGCCAAAGTTGTTATGTATATTAACTAATGTAATAAACTGCTACAGAAGGATATAGCTGGTTTGATAAGGTGTCCGATTGGAATTGGGGTTCTTCATCTATGATCCCTCTTACCAAACTTCATGACAAAGATGAAGGATTTCTTGTGAACGATGAACTCATTATTGTTGCTGAGGTAGATGTTCTTGAAGTTATTGGCACATTGGATGTGTCAGTGAAATCTAAAGAGTCAAGCCGCCCTCTGAAAAAGATAAAGCTAAATGAGGATTGTGCGGAGTCTAACGAGTCGCTCAAGGAAGCTTCATCAGTAAAAGAAAGCATGGTTAATGGGTTTCAAGTTCTTCCTTCACAGGTATGTAATCAAGAATAGTTCTAACTTTTTGTAATTACAAGAGGTGAGATCATATATGTCTCCCGATATGATATACCTTTTGACACTCGCAGGAAGAATCTGTGAGACGTATATTTGAAAGACATCCAGACATTGTGGTAGACTTCCGTGCAAAGAACCAACAGCTCAGGACAACATGGATGAATTTCTTGCTCAGCTTGATCGAGACGCTGTGCAAGTCAATTCAGGAGCTTTCCAATGACGATCTTGTGGATGCAGACATTGCGCTGACACACTTGAAAGCTGTGAACTTTAAGGTAGATTGGCTGGAAAAGAAGCTTGATCAAGTAAAAGAAAAGAAAAAGAAAGAACTGTCTGTTGTGGCCCAACTCCAAGAAACAGAAGAAAATATTCTGAAATTGAAGCAAAAGTTTTCAGAGCTGGATGCAGAGTTGTCGGCTACCAGAACTGCTCTGTCATTTGATGATGTTGTTTTATGACTTGGATTCTAAGGCATTTGGTGTTCTGATATTTTCGTTTTGCTCTTTGTTTCAAAATAAGATGTCTTTTGCAAGGTAATTGAACTTATGTTTGAAGTTGTCACATTTAGTGAAATAAGTATATTTCCGCTATGGTTTATCTAAGTTTCAGCTACCATAATTGTTGTGTAACTGTGTTTCTTAGGACAAACTTTAAAGCTATTGTTCCTTAAACTGAGATCTTAAAGAGTTCTTAGGCACCTTGAGTTAATTGACTAGGTATTGAAATGAGAATCACATGGGTGTAGAAATGTATAACGATTCTCACGTTTTGGTGAAGTTAAGAATATAGAGTGGCACTTGCAGAGTCACATGGTTATGAATCTTGATGATAAAGTAATCTCTTTGTGTATGAAAACAGAGAGATATTTGCTTATCGTCATGTACTCTCTTCATACATGCACTTGCGCTTTCGTACTCATCTTATCATTGTTGTTGATGTCAGAGAGTATGTATTAGTTTCTGTTTCTTCCTGATTCATAACATTTGTGTCTCTCTATCTTGGAATCTCTAAAGGGTAGTGATTGTAAACATTTTATTTTGAATAAATTTTACTTTCAGTTTTTATTTTTTTTAAGGTTTCAGGCTTTAAGGTGACTCATAACTCATAAGTCTTCCAAATGACGATTATATTGGTCTCTTTAATACGTACGAGTCGTACGGTAATGCTAATTCATGTAAATGCAGTTTCACGAAATTCAGGCATAACAAGAAAGGTAATGAAGCAAGTAGCTTTATATATCATTTCGTCTAGAATTTCCGTCGTAACTTTTCATGCAAGAAACAACAAACAAGAGATATATAAATAATTAAAATTTAGAAAATGAAAAGTGAAATCAGATTCTAATTAAAATAATAACAAATTTTGAAACAATCTAGTCAAATTTTGTAAAATATGTATAAAGTTATATGGCAAGTCCTTATGCAAAAACAGAATAAAATATGGGCAAGTCATTCAAATGCATGACTCATAAATGCCTTTTTTATATATAGAAAATGATATTCAACTTTTCTATTTTTTGTTTGTCAAAATAAAATGATATTGAACAAGTACCAAAATATCTTATAAAAGGAACAAAAAGACAAAAACACATCTAGAATCAATATGGGTTTTCTTCAACGAATCTCTTTGATGATCACATCTTTGATCATCCTCCACACAATCCCATCGACCACATCGACCCCAATCACACCAGACGCCCCAACAATGATTCTAATCGATAGCATATGCGTCAACACCAGGAACATGTATTTTTGTGAGCAAACAATCATCTCGAAACTCGATAACCCCCACACAGACATCAAGATCATATCGAAAATCGCAGCGTTCAACGCAGTGTACATCACCACAACAGCAGGTAATCTCATTAGAGATGAATTTATTCCCAAAGCAGAGAATCCTCTTGTCAAGACCCAACTTGTTCATTGCCAGGCAACGTACAGAGCTGTACAAAAGCTTCTCGAAGGTGCTTATATGGCACACTTACGCGGTGATTATTCGGATATGAGACACTATCAATCAAGTGTGCTTGGTATGCTAGATAGCTGTAAAACAGATTTTGATCATATGGTGCGTACAAATTGGTGGGTTAGGTTAACGATCAATATCTCTTTATTAGCAACTCGTCAGCTCCCTGGAAAATAATATACTGTGATTTTCGGAAATTTTCAATAATTTAAGTCTAAATTATTGCTTTTCAGTATTATTTAAGTGATAATTCGGTGAAGCATAATATAAAAGTTACATTAGCATCTATTTATCATAAGTTTATGTATATATCTATTATCATATAACTGTCTATTAGGCTTGGACAGTCAAATAAGTGCATGTTACAATTTTGAAGCAAATTCGGGTTTAGAGAGTGTCCATTCGATCTCAGGTCAATTTTGAACTCCACAAACATATATATAACATCTTAAAGATGCCTAGAGACAAGACTTGGGCCTTCCTATGGTTGGAGAGCATGCGCTTAAAGATTTTCTGAATTATCATTAATACTAGAATCTAACCCGCGGTACACCGCGGGGCTATATATTTTTTTAAAAAATGTAATTTTTTTTATAAAGATTAACTAAAGATATATCATATTAATTTGTATTTTTTAAATGTAGATATCTGTCTGTGTATTATTTAGTGTATGATTACTATTGTTAAGGTTTCAAATGTTAATGATTAGATACGTAAACATACAGTTTATTAAGTAACGATGTATGGTGGATTTAAAAATTTGAATATTTTACCCCGCAATATATTGCTTGCTTTGTTCAGTGTTTACAGTTGTAATTGTATTTTGATTGTTAATTTTATGATTTTACCGGTGGTATACCGCGAGACTATATGCTAAGTTAAAATTGTAATGTTAAAGATTTGATGAGTATATATAGTTGTATATTTTAAAGATTTGATGAGTATATATAGTTACAAATCCATATCTATATATTATATTGTTTAAGATAAACATGTTTTCAGATTATATAGATAATTGTTTTAATTGAGTAGTAAGATTTTTGGTCTACTATATCTTGATTGAATTAATAAATATATAGAGAATTAAATCTAAAAAATTATAAAATAAAATAAAATTTATAGAATCAAGTCTAAAATCCACGACTCTTATATATGTACAAAACCCCGTAATTGTTACAAAGTTGTTAATGGAAGAAAATCAAAACAGTCGAGATTCTCTTGAAACTAATAAAAAACAAAATTCAATATTATCTCATTTCTCGTAAGAGAAAAGTTCACTCAACGATGTTGGTTACACAACAGATCTTTCCTGAAAATATTCATTTTAAAACAAAATTTTAATTAAAGAAATTTGGAAAATAATGTTAAAAACAAATTGTTGATGTAAAATGGCGTTTTGAATACTATGTTGTTGTTGAGGAAGCGAGTTGTCACGTCTTCTTGACTCACGCGGAGTTGTAACAGTTGCCGCAGTAGACGACGGTGTAGTCACCGTTGAAGACGACAATTTGCAGACGACAATTTGCAGAAAGTCATTATTTTATTTTCCATATGAAGGATTTGTCCGGTCTACAAAAATGAAAAAAGTATTATGAGAAAAGAAAAAACATTGTAGATTATAAGAAAGATTAAGATATACTCACGTTAATGAGTTATGTGATTACATAAAAACAGAATCTCAAACATAAAAATTAAATTTGAATTAAGAACAAAGATTATCTTATGAATATACCTTGAAGGATGTTTGTGCTATTTTTGCTAGAGGCGAGTATAGTTTTGAATGAGATTAGAAAAATATTTGCTTGATGAATCTAGTAGTTGAGTAAAGATTGGTATTTATTGAGAAGGTAGAAGTCTAGGTTTATGGTTTAGGTGATATGAGAATATCAAAGATACGAATAAAAAAAATGGTTATCACAATGATTGATTGTAATAATTAAGGGAAGATTAGGAAATTAGGAGATGACAAACTTTATCTCTAAAAGATTGATGATGATTTGGTTTAGGTAACGTTAGTTTATCGAATATGTCATAGAATATATGGAGAATATGCCATTAATTTGTTTCTCATTTCATTTAACCGAGAATCGACATATTGACCCGATTCGCTAATGATTGTTTTAATTAGTAGAGAAATTAGTGTTTGCCATTAGTATAAATCGTATATGGAGTTAAGACATTGTTTCTATTACTGAAAATAATTGAATGCTGTTTTATATGTTTGAGATATTTGTCGAGACATTAAAAAATATTTTGGCGAGATTTTTGGTAACAATTTGAGTAACGAAATAAAATTAAAAATCTTTATTCAAATTAAACAAATATAAACAATTAATGTCAATGGCATTCATCCGTAAATACTATCCAACTCCAGGATTTATTTGCTAAATGTACTCCAAAAATGTATATATAGATTATTATTATTATTATTTTGATAATCAAGGGGTGGTCCAGATTTTTATCACCCGACTAATTATTTCGACTAACCATTCACAGGATTAATTAATATGCTTAAAACATGACATTATTTCGACTGCCCATATGGAAGTGTTTAAATAATTTCGCGCTTGAGAGGAATCGATTCCTAGTCTGGATCAACATAACAATGTGTAAGCCTAATAATCTCAAATGGATTAGCTTTCCAACTATGGAAGGTGATTCCCCAAGCGTGCAGCTACATCTTCATTGATCCGAAAAACAAAAGATATCTAACTTCCTGATCGTTTTATGGTCCAGCATCTGAAGTTTACGACTACCAACATGTATTGCGAGTCTACGAGATCTATGAGATGATTTGTAGAAAGTTCCCGTTTTTGGCTTTAGATAAACAAACAGTATATCATGTATTTGACTATACTCAAATTTCAAGTCGCATAGTTTATCTAAAAATAATTTAGGTAGCCTTCTGTAGTATCTCGAATGGTTGAACCATTGCACAAAGATATTATTATTCCCTCTGCAGCCACAACACTGTGTATTGAATAATGACTGCTTGAGAAGAATGGATGTGCCGGGATCCATTAGTCAATTAATATAGATAATACTCGATCTCTATGTTGCTAATTAATCCAAATTTTAGAAAATTAAATTGTTTCAAAAGATATATATATATATATATATATATATATATTTTTTAAAGTTTATATATATATATATATATTAAAGTTTTTAATGAATTTAATTAGTTAATGATGATGAATTGTAAATTTAAAGAAAAATAATTGAATACTTGTAGTTACAGAAATTGTTAATCAAAAAGATGATGCATTATAATTAATCAAATTTTAATTTGTTTTTCTAATATGTATGAAGAGCTTAAAACTTGGATTAATTATAAACAGATGGAGTATATCCTTGTACATGGTTGTTTTTTCTCTAAGCATATATATTTTTAATCATTGTTTATCCTCTTGTATATATATATATATATATATATATTTATTTATTTATTTATTTATCTAGGTGTTCCTTTTTTTTTTTTTTTTTGTAAACTATCTAGGTGTTCCTTAAAAATTTAAAATCATTCAGAAAGTACATGTTACCATCACATTTCTTCCACGAAAATGATCTCCTTATTAGATTTTAGTTTGTTTATATTAAACCTTTTAATGCCAAATTACATCCCAACATGAAAAGATTTATAAAAAATAAACAACTAGATAACAAGAAGATAAATATAACAAAAGTTCCAACAGTCTAAGACCCAAGAATCTCAAATCAGTGATGAAGATGTTTCGAGGGATGGCCAACCACAACAGTTTTTACAACGATGGTCACATCTTTTGTCTGTACCACAACCTCCAGAGCAAATATAGTAACAGATCTTCGGGGTCATTTTCAATTGGTTCGGCCCTGTAAACATCATTAATTACAACTCATTGACATAATTTGTGAATACAACTATCTAAATCATATATAATAAGAAAAAAGTTGGTGTATGGCAATTTGTCTTTACAATGTTAAACAACGCACAATTTACATGATAACTATATGTTTCAAAATTAGTGTTGAACATATTCAAGCCATGCCACGAAATTTGATTATAGAGAGTCATGAGAAACTACTCTTTATTTTATTTTTTGATAGAGTGAAAGATTACTTGTGTTGGAGTACTTAAAAGATGGAGGAGAAATGCATCTGAAGAGACAATTAGTACAAGCTATATCGGTCATGTTTTGACAGAGAGACTTGCAGTCTGTTTTCTGACACTCAGTTACAATTTTTGCTCTCATGTCCATTATAACCAAAGCCATTATCATTGTTATTAAGATCTTAATCATAAACGACATCTTCTTTGGTTCTTTGTTTCTTCTTTTTTCTTTTTTTCTTGGCTAGGATTTATCAATTTTTGATTCTACACGTTCATATTATATGATTTTTTTTTTTATAAAAGGTGTCTAATGAATTTTCGGAAAATGGCGGAATTATAATTACATGCATGACTACTGGGACACTTGTCAAAATAATTTTAAAATACATCAAATATCTAAAACTATAATTTAAAAGTAATTAATATGGTTACTATTATTTACCTAAATTTTTAAGTATTAATAATTTTATAAGTGACTTTAATTATAAAATATGAACATTTTAAAGTATAGAAAGGTGTAAAAATAAGCACAAAATTAAATTATGAATTTGGTATTATATATATATGGTCAAAGTGAATATGGACCATAATAAGAGGACTGAGGTGAAAGTTAAAAAAAAATCACAAATTAAAATGTGAATAAAAGCATTCGAAAACACCAGGAAAAATTTGCAGACTAATGTGAAAAATGAAACTTGGTAGAGAAAATTCAATCTATTTCGAATATTTATTTTTAATTTGAATTATAAAACTATATAGTAATTACGTATATGTAGTAAAACATAGCAATATAATATATGAAACTAAGCACCAAAAAAATTTCAAAAATCCTTCAAATATTCCTCTCTTCATATGTAACATTAGGACTCAATTTACCCTAAAATCAAATACTCAAAAAACTTAATGAGATTTACCATTAGACAAAGGCACGACAATCTTTCAATCACACAAATTAAACATTGTTCAGATTTGATATCTTTTGCATTTGTGAATGTTAGCTTTTATAAACATCTTTCAATCGTCAAAAACGTTACTATAAATGATGTCTTTGTTAGAGAACACAAAAGAGAAGGAGGAATATAATACGATCCAAAAAAAAAACAAATACGTTAATATCCACTTTATCACTTCTCCCAATTATTCAAAGTTGATCACATTATTATTTTGTGTTGAAATCGAATTATGAAAATCTATATATAATAGCAATCTAATAAATACCATTTGCACATCTGAACGGTTGCGTCTTTTTATCGCAACCTTTCGTTTAAATCGGTTATTTTTTATGGTTATTTTGGTTGCGTCTTTTCGTTGATATATTTACGGTTGTGTCTTTTATCGCATCTCTTCGTTAACATAATTACAGTTTTTTTTTACAGTTATATTTGTGCAAACTACAGTCGTATCTTTTCAGTTTACGGTTGTGTCTTCATAGTTGCATCTATTCATTTAAAGTTATGTTTCATATTATATAGATTTAAATTTTGGTTTTAAAACTAAAATATATATTATATGGTTGTTTTTTCAAAAAGTTGCAATCTGAATAAATATTTTCTACGGTTGCATCTTTTTATCGTAACACCTCATAAACAATTGCGATGTTTAGTTAAACCATTGCAACATTTACTTTATTTAACGAACAATTATAATTTTTTATTTATTTTATAAATCGTTAAAACATTTAATTTTTGAAAAAGTAAAAATATATATTATACGGTTGAATTTTTTTAGAAAATTGCGATCCGAATAAATGTCTTCTACGGTTATGTTTTTTTTATCGTAACTTTTCGTAAACGGTTGCAACCGTTTAGTTGAACCATTGCAACATTTAGTTTATTTCACGGACAAATGCAACTCTTGGTTTATTTTATAAACTATTATAACATTTAATTATCTATAGTCACGTCTTTCGGTATAACTTTCTCTAAACTATTATTTCAATTTTAGTTACTAAAATATAATTAAATGAAATTTTAAACGTTTAATTGAACCGTTGCAATATTTAGTTTATTTGACAAATTATTGCAAGTTTTGGTTCTATTTTATGAACCATGGTAATCTTTAGTTTATTTGACGAACCGTTGCAACATTTGGTATATTCTACGGTCGCTTCTTTTGGTTATAATTCTTCATCAAATTTTTAATTTTAATTACTATAAATGAATATGTTGCTACCGTTTAATAGAACATAGTAACATTTGGTTTATTTGACGAACCAATGAATATTTTGGATTATCTAATGAACCGTTGTAACATTTGGTTTATTTGATGAACCGTTACAATATTTGATATATTTGATGAATCATTGCAACTTTAGTTTATTTATTGAATTATTACAACTTTAGGTATACAGTAAAACCTCTATAAATTAATAATGTTGGGACCATGATATTTTATTAATTTATAGTGATATTAATTTATCTATAAATTAATAAATATTAATTTATAGCGTAAATTAATATTTATTAATTTATAGAAATTTTTGTTTCAATTGTGAATTTTTTTAAAAAAAATACGAGCTAAAGCAACGTGATCCAAATAAAATTAATGTTTTGGATGTTATAAATTTTATAATTTTAGACTTAAACATTTAATATTTCGAAGAGAAAATAATTTTTTTACAATGAATCACAACGATTATAGAATTCACATATACAAACGATATACATAAATTAAAATCCATAAATAGCGAGATCTATTGTTGTATTTTAAAAACATATAAAACTATTAAAACAAATATTATGCATATTCAAATTTGAAAACTTACAAAAACTTTTGGCTATTTTTATGAAAAAACACTAAAACTATTATATATGTATATATATATATATGCAAATTTACATGATTATTAATTTATGATATTATTGGGACTATATTTTTACATAAAGATTTCAAAAAACTTATTATCTTATTATCTTATCGAATTTGGTTAATTTTTACACTGGCCCAATTCAGGACCGGCAAAATTTATTAATTTATCGTGTTTATTAATTTATCGAGTATTAATTTATAGAAGTTCTACTGTATTTGATGAACCGTTGCAACATTGCCTTTTGTGATACATTTTTTAGGGCATTAACTAAAGCTTTTTTTTTTGAATAAAGCATTAACTACAGTTATATCTGTTCATCTAGAGTATTATCTTGTCACCATGTTTTATTCGTGTTTTTTAGCACATATACTTAGTTCTAATAATTGTGTCTTTTACAATCAATTTATCTGTTTAAACTTTCATCTCTTTCTAGCTCTATATATGTATATATATATTATGTTTTTAAAAGTGGTTTAAATTTATTATTTCTTTTTGTTTGATATTTTTCATAGAAAGTTACATTTTTTTGCTATTTAGCATTCATATATATACTTTTTTATCTATATCATTATTATTTTTTTCTAAATAAATATCTATTTTGGTTATTTATTTAATTTTTCTGAAGATTGTCTCTTTTTAACATAATACAATATAAAATATTACGTCTTTTTATCGTAATATTTAGATGAATATATTTTTATAGCTATTTATATTTATAATAGTTTAAAAAATTGAAAAATTGCATCTACTCATTATAACTTTTTGTGTAATATTTTTTATTTATGCTCGTATTATTTCACCATAATATTTTCTAATAATAATACAAATCTTAAAAAGTATTTGTGAGAGTTTACGTTTCTTTATCATATTTTTTTTGTAAAATATATCTTTATTTATTGTTAAAAAAAAATTGTTTTGAAACTTGTTGTCTCAATTCATTATGACATTTCGTTTTTCTTCAAAATAGCCTGAAATCTTTTCCCCCGCGACATCGCGGGGGGTCTAAGTCCTAGTAATCCAAATAAACAAACAACAAAATATATATATCAAAACAAAAAAAAAAATTCAAAGAAAGAGTTTACGTATACGAAAGATAGTACGAACACACTAATTATAAAACAAAATTTTGGAGACGATGCTGCCAACTTTAGTTTCTCAAGAGGGAAACATTGAGGTCATCAGCATGTAAATTTTGAGAATCGGGTACGTGAGGAGGAAAGTTTCCCAAAAGAGCAACATTGACGTACTCATTAGGAAAATGAGCAGGAAGTCCCGGAATCAACAATGCAACAAGCCTAAAACACGTCAATAACCATCCTTCTCTGTATTCTTTACCTTGCCAACAAGATATGATGAAACTCCTTATCAACTCCCACACTGCGTTTAATATCTTCGGTATAACCCAAAATATATTGAAGTAGTTTTTGTTTGGCTCCTCTTCTTCCACCTGAACATTATATCAAATAGTTATCATCAGTTGGGGAAGTGAATAAATAGGAATTATGCGGAAACAAAACAAGAATTCTCGTTTTTCATGTCTCGATATATTTATTATATATATATATTCAAACTATAACTTTATATATATGAATAATATTATGATAAAGATATATAGAATATTTTGATATGAAAAGATAAAACTTAAGAAAAAGGTTTTAAAACCCTAATCATTAGTGATTAATTCAAGAAACAAAATGTCAAAATCATAAATTGTAATCTATAACCAACCTTTCCTTTGTAGAAACTGTTACAGTAAAGGCAGTCCCCAAAATGTTTGAACATGAGTGTCTTGTCGTCGAAAGGCAACCTAGGAACCATGTCGTTGCAATAAACATATCTTTTGTACTTCACGTCAAATTCCTTTAACTTGTCTGTCATGAAAATTCCAAAATTCTCGTTTTCCTACGCGAGGCTGACCAAATGTGTAAACTCCTTCAAGCCTCTCCAACATTTTCTTCTCATCATGCATCATTAATACGGCTGTGAACAGGATCGCTAGGGCTCCACCTAGGCTATGTCCGGTCAGGATAAACTTGGATGTTGGGTTTTGTTCGAAAACCTCTTTTAACTGACGTAAAATTGTGTAGTATGCAAGTTGACTTGTTTTATTTTGGGTTTGGTCAGAGTTTATTTCTTCATACCATCCTTCTTTCGGAAGGCCTAAAGCTTTCATGAATCCGCCGTGGATCTTTCCCACATTCATAACGTCGTGCCTATTTTTATTCATAATAACCTCGTACCTATTTTTGAAATCAGCATTAGTTTGATTAGGAGAAGCTAACGTTGAACCTAACCGAATAAAAACCAACCTAAACCTAAGTATTCAAAAAAAAAAAACCTAAGTATTCAGTATATTACCAAGAGAGATCAAGGTCTGTACACCAATCATCGGCGTTGAAAGGATCGGTTCCTCTAAAACTGACGATGATAAGGTTCGAATTTTCTTTTGTGTCCCTTATAACAATCACCTCTGTTGACCTCGTTTGATCAAAATCTGAAAAGCCCAAAAATAAAGTAGAACTATATATTATTATTTCGGGAGAAGACATATTTTGAATTAAATTGATTTGTATCTAATAAAATAATTTAAGAAAATGAATTTAGAATCGTAAATACTGTAGTAGAAAACAACTAATGCATATATTTATCAACAAAATATTGAGTTCTTACAAAAAAGAAAAATCAACGAAATATAGAAAAGTAAATAAAAAACAAAAAAAGTGAAGTAAAGAATCAATATTATTGATCCCTTTTTAACTCACTTGTCCCTTTTAAGAATTGTCAGTTGTCATAACAATTTTCGTAAATTCACCCAAAATCATACAAAAATTTATTGAAATTTAAATCATTTAATATACAGAGTTGAATACACTTCAAAATATTTTTAAAATGGATTTGTAAACCCAAACAAGTGAAAGATACTAACTATATAAAAAATTTTAGGTCATTATTTATTTGATTATTATGGGAATCAAATCATATTGGTAAGAAAACGTAAAATATCCCACATATCAGACGGTGTTTTAATTTCACGTGGTATCTGCATTTTTGGTCGAACACAGTTAATTATTCATTATACGTATATAAGAAAAGGGAAGCAATCTCACCATTCGGACAGCTGTAGAAACCCAATAAGTCCATCTTTGCCACAAACATAATAAACAAATAATAGTGATCATAAGTCATTTTATTATTTTCAAAATGAAAGAGAACATGCATGATTATGGGGTGGTCATACTTGCAAGTTAAAAGATAAAGTTAATTAACTCGATGAAGAAAAATATATACACAGCTAAATGTTTGACCAACAAATAAAAAGATGCAGCTAATATAATACTGCACTAGTTGTCGTATTTTTATATGAAACTTTTATTTATAAAGAGTTGTGAACAATAATAAAGGAAAAAAATATTAAGAAAAATGGAAGAGTTAGTTAATAAAACCTGCCAATGGTCTTGAAGAACGGATCTGATAAAGTTTTCGTTCTCGTAAGACAGCTTAGAAGCCATAATTGACAACAGTGGTTTGTATCTTTCATCTCCTATCTTTATGCTCCGGCCTAAACCTAACTCTACTTTTTGGTCTAGGTTTCCGTTTACCGATGCAAATGTCGCTGCTGTTTTTTCCGGCCAAATAAACCTTCCTGAACATGTTACAAAAGTAATATAAATGTGAAACTTTGGTATATGACCGATGATACGATAATTATTCGGCAGATCATGCACACAAGTTTCTAAAATCAAATGGGGTGAATATGCTACATACAAAGCTAAACTGCAAATAAAATTTACAAAATTAAAAAAAGAAAAACATAATTTACAGAAAAATATGGTTGTATTTTCATAAGTTATCCATTTGACGAAAAAAGAAAAAAAAAGAAAGAAAAGAATTTAGCTGTGTATATTTTTATTTTTTTTAAATACCAGGAAATTCTGGGCCAAAACCCGTAATCTCTTCATGCTCCAAACCACAGCATGTAATATTAGTTTCGTATCAATCATCACTCGAACCGGCGACCTCGAATTAAGCTTTGCCTAGAATCTTTACTAATTGAGCTAACGACACTTGGTCAGCTGTGTATTTTTATAGTTAAGTAAATAACACATCATGGCCTAACTGCATTTTTATTGTATATTATCTTTCAGATGTGGTTTCTATATTCAATCAATTAAAAAGATTATGATAACGAAAAAACAAAAACATTTGGAGTACCTTAGAGGGCCAAATAATATTTTGTAAACAATAATTCATATAGTAACCATCACTTATTTGTCGATTTTCACTCTTGCTTCCGTTCGAGATATCGCAATGAAGAAATTTAGAATGTATTCAACGTTGTATTTTAATTTATAATGTAATGTCAAACCCAACTTATATCAATAAGTTCTAAACAAGAAAGTCAAGAAAATCAAACCTCTGACAAGATTTAGGAAAATCTTGAAGAAGCCACCATTGGAAGAAGGAAGGTTGAGCCAAAAGCCAAGAGCGAATCCCAAGAACGAGAGAGGTTTCCTGAGGATAATCAGGAGTTTCTGAACAACGATGGATACAAAAATAATCCACCGTCCCCCGATTTCGCAAAGACGGTTCTCAAGATTCTCTACGGAAGTATCAACGAACTTTCTATTCTCGAGATCCGAGTAGAGGAGAAGCCGCATCAGATCCATGACGGTGGCTTCTCTCGGATCCAGAACAAAGTAGTTTTCGGGTTGAACCATTTTTGTTGTTTTTAGTGGTTTAATTGTCAACGTTTATTGAGCTTTGAAACGTGAAAGAGTTTTTATGCAAGCTAAAGTCACGATTAGCTTTGTGTAGTTATAATGTTCAACAAATATATTTAATACCATGATCGAGTCCACGCTTGAATTTGTTTATTTGGGAACATGGCCTATTCCCATATCAAGATTTGAGGGTCCATGACTATTTCTATACCATGAATCAATATATCTTAAACTACACAAAAGAATTAACCATAAACGTAATTCGCCGTCATGAAAAACTGTAGCTTCGGAAACCCTCATGGGACAAAGGTCTGTCGTCAGATTGACTATAAACTGAACCGACCTGGTATGTACTACCTTGTAGCATGTGACCTTGTAAATTGAACTAATATGTTACCAAATTTTGAATTGATTAATAATTAATCAAAAATAGATCGATACAAGTTTTGACCATTTCGCTGATCAGATAATTGGTCAAAATTCGACATGTTTTCTTGTAGTGTGCATCAACATTAACTCTCTCTTAGTTAAATGGGTTGAGGCTGTCGAGCCCAAACCTAGAATCCTATAATCTGACCCGAATTGAAGGCAAAATGGATCCTCAAAATAGATCTAACTTTTAGATTGTTTTTATGGCCCGGCTTTTGAAGTGTACTTTTACTACCACGTACGGAAAGTCCAGGAGATATTCTGTCATTTACAATATTAGAGGATTTGATGGTTTTTAGGATGTTCTTTGGTTTTGTTTCATTCTGCTAGAATCCAAGGTATGTCTAATCCTTAATTTTAGATTTGTTTCATTCCATATAGTTGCATTCGCGTAGATGTAATTAATAAATAGGTCTTCAATCTAATAAATCATATTTGATAGTAGCTTTTACATATACTTTTAAAATCTATGTAGTTACTTATGCATATTGCTTTTGATCTAGTTTTACATACAATTAAATCTCTTTCGAACCACAACATTTGTTATGCTCAACAACTTCGAAAATAATATTTTACTCCGCCGAAAGTATAGATTTCTTTCATTGCATAGCATTAGAGATGACTAATTCTTTGGGAGAAATGAATTTAGAGGAATGAAGATCAAAACACATGTTTAATTTGGAAACAAAATTCTCTTTAACTGGTATATATTTTGAATGATAAGAACAGTCTTCATTCTTTACCTCCAATAGGTCACCAATTGAATTATTTTAAGGTCAAATTTCTAGTAGATTTGAATAAGTTTACTAAATAAAAAATTCAGTAAATTCAAAAAGTATTACATTAAATCTAATGCAACGCTTTATAAATAAGCAAACCTAAAATTAATCAGTGTGGACATATTAGGGAAAACGGCCATTTTCAACCCCAACTATTTGGGGGCGGGTTTTTCCAACCCAAACTAAGGCCCCCCGTCAATTTCTACCCAAACTCAAAACTAATTCAAATTCAAAACCTAAACTAATGAAAATTAGCCGATTTCAACACGACAGAAGACGGTGTTAGTTCGGGATTTAACGGCTGCTGAGTCAGCGATATCGTGGCATTGACGTGGCGGAAAAGCGGCCATTTTCAACCCCAACTATTTGGGGGTGGGTTTTTCCAACCCAAACTATTTGGGGGCGGGAAAAAATAAAACGTCGTCGTTTTCACTGACGTGGCTTCTGGTCAATGAAAATGACGACGTTTTATTTTTTTCCCCTTCAAACAACGAAACGACGTCGTTTTAATTTTGGGGAAAAATTAAAATTAGGGTTCTTCATTTTCTCTCAAAACAGAAAAAATGTTCGTCGATTTTATGAATTCACAGGCACTGTAAACGGAATCTGAAAGAAATGTAGCAATAGCAAGAAAAAGCAAAATTTGTTCCTGAATAGTTTGGTCTAGCAATTGTGTTCTGTTGGTGTCGGATCCCGCACCAATAGTCCGGGACCAACCAAAGATTGCCACGTAATCAAGGTAACGGCCCACGAAGGATAAAGCCCATTAGACCCGTGAGTCGGAGGAACAGTCGAAGTGGTTATCACCGCAAGGAGAGTCCGAAGTGACTGCACCTCGACATAAGTCCGGAGTCGAAGTCACAGTTAAGTTGGTCTAAGGATGTTTGGGCCGATTGGTGAAGCCCATGAAGATCGGAATCAACTCAAATTCAAGCGTTAAGCATTAAAGTCAAAGATCAAAACGGACGCATTTAAGAGAGAATAATTGTACTTAATTAGCCATTTAATTGACATTTTTCTATGTATAAATATAAGGGCGAATGGCCATGTAAAAGGGATCTCTCTCTCGAATAAGAAATACTATAGCAATTTTTGTAGCAATTCATAAGCTTTTTACATATTCATTTTTGTCCCTCAAGAGTAATCTTTCCTACTTAATAAAAATACTTGAGTGTGCGAATTCGACTTCCACATGTCCGTCTAAAGATTTTGTCTTTCTTCCTGCAGTGGAATCATTGTAGAGACATTCTATCTGGAAACTTGTCTGAAATCAATTGTGTTTATAGTCTCGTGACCTGAATCATCATCACTACAATTCACAAAAATTTCAATCCGCATAACAATTCATGAACTCTAAAGCTATGGTACCACACTGCCATTCATTAAAATTTCAACTCGACACAAATGGAGACAATACCATATTGTTTTAGAAATCATACAACCCCAAGATCCATCACATGGTAAGTAATACACAGTCGGACTATCGAATGATAGATCACCTTCGATATATAAATAGTTTTTCTCTCACGACCCAACTACAAGATTACATGAATATAGCAGCGGCTTGGGTTTTGAATTTAAATTAGTTTTGAGCTTGGGTAGAAATTGACGGGAGGTCTTAGTTTGGGTTGGAAAAACCCGCCCCCAAATAGTTGGGGTTGAAAATGGCCGTTTTCCGCCACGTCAATGCCACGATATCGCTGACTCAGCAGCCGTTAAATCCCGAACTAACACCGTCTTCTGTCGTGTTGAAATCGGCTAATTTTCATTAGTTTAGGTTTTGAATTTGAATTAGTTTTGAGTTTGGGTAGAAATTGACGGGGGGTCTTAGTTTGGGTTGGAAAAACCCGCCCCCAAATAGTTGGGGTTGAAAATGGCCGTTTTCCCGGACATATTATTGATTGTGGCGGGGTAAAATAATTTTCCTAAAGTTGTTGAGTAGAACAAATATTGTAAATTAAACGAGATTGACTAATTTGTGAAATTAGATCGAAAGCGGTATGCTGTAACTACAGAAAATTACCTAGATTGACTCAAAATTGGGCAATAATAATTAAAATGACTCGCATTAGTGATGGATAACTAGACTAACACAAATTTTGTGTAAAAAGACCAATTAACCTTAATCAAGATTTCTACAACATTTATATTCACAAAAAAAACATTATTTGATTTCCTAATATTAAAAAAAAAAATAGAAAAACTAACAAACAAAACAAGTAAAGCAAACACAAACTCGATTTAGCCTACATCTTATTTCCCCCAAATAAGACTTTCCTCTCATGAGGCCACGTTTTTTTCACAAAAACTAAGGAGGCCACGTTTTTTTTTTTCACAAAAACCCTAGATGTCGACATTTAATGTTTTAGTGGTAAATATGGTAACTGCTCTAATAAGTCTGTCATTACAAAGAAAAAAAACTGTCACCACTGTAAATATTATTATAGCAAAAAAATCTGCAAAAAAAAAACACTGTCATCAAAGGGGTTCATAATTACAAATCTGTCGTAACATACAAAATTATATAGGTCCTTCTAGTAATTTTTTTTTTTACTTTAATAAATCTGCCATCAAACGACATATTTGTGGTAATATAATTTAATCTGTCATAACATAAAAAAATCTGCTACTATTAAACGTCAATCTAGTTATTAATTTTTAGTTAGCAAATCTGTTACAACATGACAATTATTTTTCGAAGATAATAAATCTGCCGCCTCTTACAAATTAAATCAGCCAGAAATTACAATAAATATGTCATAAATTGTTAAAGTATGTGGTTTAATGAAAAAAATCTGTCAAGAAAAACAAATCTGCTAAAATTCTGTAAGTCTGTCGTAACCATATTCTAAAAAATCTGTTAAGCAAATAAGTCTGCCAAAATAAATCTGTCACTGACAAATAAGTCTACAGTTTATAAATTAATCTGTCACAACTAGATAGCAGATTTTTTCTAAAATTGCTGGAATTTTTTATGAAGGGTAATTTTGTATTTTTTTATTTTTTTTACACATGAGACAATGGTATTTTAGGCATGAAAATAACTCATTTAACCTAAATGATTTGTTAGTCAATCTAGTAATTAAACTCAAAATTTGGGTTAATCTAGTAACTCTCCCATGTTCAAGAAAGCGCTAAGCTGGTGGTGAACTTGTGCCTAGCGCGTAGAACGCCTAGTCGGAACATAGGCGATTTTAGGCGGTTTAGACGCTTATAACATAAAATATTATAAATATGATATTATATATAATAGTTATATAAAATATATGTACAAAAATAAAAAAATATGAAATCATAAACAAAAACTAGATAAACATTTGTTTATATTTATATTAAACAATATATGAATATTAATAACTATATGTATAGAAATAAAACTTAATTGAAATTTAAAAAATATATTAAACAAAATTTATGTAACTTTAAGCGGTCAAGACGGTCATGTAGGCGTGGCATGAGAGTCTAGCGTCTAGTCGGGGCCTGGACGACTGCCTACACCGCTTTTTAGAACACTACTAAAATATAATCAAATCCAAAATACTAAAGGTGATATCGTATAGCGTACAGAGTTTAGTTAAGATTAAGTAACTTTTTGTATGTTCAAATTATATTTTAACATTTTATTTAACATTTTTTCTTTTTAAAATTGATTCTTTGAGGCTAGTAAATCTGGATAGATTCAAATATTTATTGCTAAGCAATTTTTCTTCTTATTAAAATAGGATTTAATATCAACTTTTTAAGGTAACTAAATCAGGATAGATTTGTTGCTCTCCAAAATATTATTAAATTCAAAATATTATAGGGGCTTTTGCAAAAATGTCACTTTTTCAATGCCACTTTTAAAAAATACCCCTTTTTAAAAACCTTATAAAAAATTCTCTAAAAAATATAAGATTTACCCAAATATGTATGTAATATTATTAAAACATACACAAACTACATTTCTATGTATCTAAAATCTTATAGATACTTTATAAATACCTTATAAATGCATTTTAAATACCTTTAAAAACCTTTAAAATATCTTGTAAAACCTTTGAAAAACCTTAAAAATCCTTTAAAATAACTTGTAAAACCTTTAAAAACACATTATAAAACCTTATAAATACTTGGATCGAGTCTTCAAGTAGTAGTTACAATCCATAAGTACCTTATAAACCTAATAAAACTTTATAAAAATTTCAGAATTAAAAAGGGCATTTTTGAAAATGAACATCTAAAAAGGGC